ACAGTTCACCACAGCCAAGCCCAAGCCGAAGGCGCATCAGCCCCCATTGGCCATGTTCCTGCTGCGTCCCAATGCACGACCCACCCAGTCGGATGTGGTTGCGGCGCTGCGCAATGCGCGCACCATTTCCGTCATCGATGCGCCCACCAAACAGACGCCACAGATATTCGTCGGACCCGCTGGCATGCCCATACCCGATGGCTATGTCAAGTTCGACCTGCCCTATCTGTCGCAGTTGGCGCACAGCCGCGATCTGCAGGACGTCTCCTTCTTCGTGGCACCGCTCAGCTACCGCACGCCCAATGGCTTCAATAAGATATTGCTGCCCGAGCCGCATGTGGGCTCCATTGTGATCAATCGCGCCAAGGATACGGCTGCCGTGCAGGAGCTCGTCCAGCCTCAGCCCGTGCGTCCGCAGCGTCCCACAAGCACACGCAATCCCTTCGAGAGCACCACGCAACCACAGCGCGGCATTGCCAGTCCAGCGCCGACGCGTGGCAACAAGTTCAGCTACTATTACGTGCAGGACGGCAACCAGCAGCAGCAGCAGCAGCAGCAGCAGCAGCAGGAGGTCAACACACCTAAGCCTGTCAAGCAGGAGCGGCACAAGAAGAAGCGGCCGCAGCATGTGGCCGTGGAGCAGCCCGTTTATCGTGCGCCCGCCAAGACACCAAATCCCTTCGATACACTGAATCAAATTGGAGGCGATGACTTCTTCAATACACTCAGCACCAAGCCCAGCAGCACCTCAACCACTAGCTCCACTTCCACCTCCACCTCAACCACCACCTCGACTACCTCCACGACGGCCACACCACAAACGCTCTTCACCTACAGCTCAAGGCCGCAGGTTGAGTTCCCCAGCTCGAATGGTCAGCTATATCCACAATTCGATACCTCAGCACAGCTGCAGCCGGTGGTGCAGGAGCAGCTGCCACGCCTCACCACCCGGCCGCCCACTTCAACCACAGCCGAGGAGGAGCTGCGCATGAAGCAATACTTCCGTCAACAGGATGCCTTCCGTCAGCGTCCACAAACCACCAACCCACCCTTCGAGTACGCCCAATCCCCTCAAGACTACGAGGTGCCGCAGTCCTCGACGACGCAGAGGACCAAGCAGCGTGTCAATATCTATACGCCAGTGACGACCTCGGACGTGGGCTACAATGTGGATCCTCAGGGACAGCCTCCGCTGAATCATCGTCCCAGCTACAACCAGAACGAGGTCAGTGTGGAGTACGAACCGAATCCGTATCATGTGCCGTCCGAGCTGCCACCGCTGACACCGGACATACCCGGCTTGGTAAACAATCTGCAGGAGAAGGATAAGCTGCCAGCCAGCACAACACCGCTCAGCGAGCCCGAGCCAGAGACCCGGCCCACACGTCGTCCCCTGCGCACGCGCAAGCCAGCCGTCTCCAAGGTAGTGACCACCTCGTCGGTGTCGTACTCCGAGTCGGAGAGTAATGTCAAGGTGCCATCGCATCGCCTCAGACGTCCCTATGGCAGTCGAGGCACCACAGCGGACAATGCTGGCGAGGAGCAGTCCAGCACACAGACCAGCACACGTCGACCGGCCACATCGCGCAATCCCTTGCTGCGCAATCCCAATCGCATACGCTACCAGCCCACCACAGAGGAGCGTCAGACACTCAAGACCAAGAAGAAGCACTACAAGGGCTCAAAGAATGGCAAGCCAAGCGAGGATCAAGACCTGGACTATCAGCGCGATGTGCTCAAGCAGAACTATCCCGTCTTCAAGGCACCGTCACGTCGTCCCACCAGCCCCACGGCCATACCCAGCTCCTATGATGTGGGCAACACCGAAGGCCCCGCCTCAGAGACCCAGCAGGTGTACACGGTAACGCCCAGCAACAGCATTGACCAGGACGAGCAGAGTGTCTATGTGCCCAGCCTGCTGGAGCCCATGCAAATAGCGCAGCACTATAATGAGTTCTCCAAGGACAACTATGGACCCGGCTACTTTCCCAATCAGGAGGATCTGAATCCCACAGAGGCGATCGTGCGCAACGAAGTGAGTCCCATCTACACAACCCTGGCCACTACCACACCCTCTACCACCACCACAACAACGACCACAACGAGAACAACAACCGAGGCACCTGTGACAACAACAACACGTCGCTCGCCCTTCATACGCCGCAATTATCCGCGAGTAAGGACCACAACAACAACTGAAGCCCCGGTGACCAGCACCACCCCAACGACCGAGGAGCGTCCATCCGTAAGTCCTTGATAATGTTTTGTGATAAATCTATGCTCACCTCGTTTATCTCCAGCTGCGCTCTCGCCTGCCACCACGTCGAGTGGTCAAGGTGCGCCAACGTCAGCGTCGCCCCACGCATCCTGCCTCCTCGTCGACAGCTGCGCCGGAAGAGGAAGCGGAGCCCGTTACCCAGCGCCAGAATCTGCGCAAGCTGAGCCGCTACAATCAGGAGCAGAGCGAACAGAAGCCGGTAAGTGAGCAGATGAAACATTAGGTACACATATCCCCTTAACCCATCTCCCTGAAACTGCAGCAGACAACGACACACACGCCACGTCGCCGTTACAAGCAGCCCTTCCAGCTGGAGGGTCAGGAATCGCAATGGTCACCCGCCTCGGAAACGGGCAACAGCAACAGCTTCAAGCCGCTCAATCCCAAGTACGGTAGCAAGAGCGATACGCACAATTTCGACAATGAGCCAGAGATTGTGACGGCGGGACCCACAGATCAACCGGAAACCTACGAATTCAACGTAGCTGCCAATCTGGGTGGATCTGGTGGTGCGCAGCGCACCACACCGACGCTCAAGGAACCCAATCTCAAGTAAGTTCTAGGTGTGCTAGAGTAGGTGATAGAAGTTTTTACATCTCTCCCTCTCTCTGCCACTTGCAGACCCGAGAAATCCTTTGCGGAGCTGTTGGAGGAGGTCATGGGCAAGGCGCCCGAGCAACTGGCCACCGAGTCGCCCACAAGCAGCACCATTGCGCGCCTCAACCGACGCGGCAAGTGGAAGAAGTCGCGCATCTCGGGCGGCTCAGACAATGGCGAGAACTTCGAGACGGCTGAATCTCAGAATCTGGGACCACAGCTCTACAACTCGCTCTATGCGGGCAATGATCAAAAGGCAGAGCTGGAGCTGGAGAAGGCCGCCGTAACCACCACAACGCCCATGACACCAGCCACTGAGGCACTCACCACCAGCAGCCCCGCTGAGCTGGTGACCACCACAGCTGCGGCGCCCACAACGCCCGCGGAGTACGAGGTGACCACCGTGAAGGCGCCAGAGGCAACGACCACCATGGCCACCACGTTGGCGATGAGCGACGAGAGTGCAACGCGTCGCATGGACACGGCGGCCGATGTGGACGATCTGGACACGCAGCCGAGCATTTTCTCAGAGGTACGCCAACAGCTGCACGATCTGTTTGCCATCGACGAGAGCGAGGATCAGGCGGTAACTGCAGCGCTGGCAGCTGTGGGCAAGCGTCGTCAGGATTACACGAGCATCAGGCGCACGAAGCCTGTGGAGAGCACCACAGTGGCGGCCACCGAGGCGCCCGCCGATGTGCTGGCCATTACGACGCTGGCAACGCCATCTGGCGGCAAGGAGGACAACTTCCACAAGGATCTGATGCAGCATGTCGTCTATGCGACGTCCACATCCACCAAAGTTACCTCCGAGACAGAGATCTGTTATCGCGGCCGTTGCATACGCTCCGAAGATTTGCCCGCCAATCACAAGCTACACTGAGCGAAATTGAAGCCGGCTGAGAGCTTCGCATGTAAATACGATAGGGCCAAGCGATACGAGATAGGTGTGGGCAGTACGAATTCGGATATTCGGAACTATATTAACCCTACATCCGCTTGCGATTAGCTTTAAATTACGAATTAAGCGTATTTAGAGAGCTACATACATATACATATATACAAATACATATATACATATGTCGTATTCTATCTAGATTGTAATCGAATCGCTTCGAACAATTTAGTAAATGTAGTAGTTAAAATATTTAGTTGTTTAGCATAAACTTAATACCACTTAGGCAGCATAAGTTTTGTACAATAAATAATTGAAGAACTAACAGAAATAAAGAATCTAAATCAATAATATACTATATAAAATATATACTATAAATGTGTAATACTATTTGCAGAGGAGGGGATTATATCTCAGGGTTGGGATACCCTTCGAAACCCACGGGCGTAGACAAGGGGAAAATGTCGAGGGATCTGTATTAGATCTAGAGGAGTGAAATGGTTTAGTAACACACTCATCGTATATACGTACACATAATTATATAAATAATCTCCTGGTACATTTAATACAATATTTATTTATATTTTATGGGGGATTATGACACACAGAAAACCAATTAATAATAGTCAACGGCCGCAATTTGATCGCATAGGACTAACAAAACAGCAATAAAATTAACTAAACCTAATAATGGGACCGGAGAAACCTCATATCTACACAAATATTTCTTAGTAACTGCAACTGGAACTTCAAAAGATAAACTCCAGACATAATAAAACGAATCTTTCTCTTGTAATCCAATGCCACATGAACAAAACATAAAAAAAAAACCTATAAATTGAAACGTAATATCTTATAGATAAGGACTAATTAATGTATAACACAGACACGAAATAGACATACACAGTCAAAACCTTATACATTAGCCCTGACGTAGGTATTCGCCAAGGCAGATAAAACGTTCTCAGGCAGAAAAACATAACTCAGATAATAAATTGAGTAAATGAGCTGAACGCATTCCAGATAAACTTTTGAGGAGGAAGTAAAAAACTATAAAATTGAAAATAAAATGTAAAACTGATAAGAAAACTGCACAGAAATACCCCAAAGACAGAAACCAAAAAAATAAATGACACACACATAAAAAATATATTTAATATACATACATATATATTTTGGTGTACATAAAATACTTTAAATATACATATTTATGAAATAATTTGTTATCATATGTCCTACATAACTAGTCGCTGTAAAAATAGTCGCAACGTAAAATAGCGGCAATCAATTCCATAATATAATACCCTACGATAAGGTACATCAGTTTCTTTGTTAAGACTCACTCCAGAATGTAAATTCGAATAGCATAGGAATCAATTCAAAACTATATATATAGAACTTTTCACATTTAGGTATCAATTAGGGGGGCGCGTGCCGCTTCATCTGACCCACTGATAGACACAGAGCGCGTCTGCCTGTGGGTGCTGGGAGTGTTCCAGGGCTGCACAGTGAAACGTCCAAACACAATAAAAACTAAATTGCCAATGAAATAGACAAAAGCCGTGAAATAAAAGACAATGCGCCATTGCGTGGGATTGGTCTGTGGAGGGAAGAGAAATGATTATCTAAGATGAATATTCCTCCAGTCAAACTCCACTCTTAGCTTACCTCATCCCTAACAATGAGCCCAACAATGAGCGGGGCCAAGATGCTCATCACATTCGCGGCACAGTTGGTGATGCCCATCAGGGTGCCAGCGAAGTTGGGCGACAGATCGATGTGGTTGACATGGAAGCCCAGATAGCTGGCCGAATTGGTGGCCACCGCCAGGGTGAGCAGGCCAATCGCCAGCTTGGCATTCGCACTGCCCTGGGTGATGAAGCCCAGGCCCAGCAGTGCCAGCATTGGCAGCCAGAGGCCAATCGAGTTGAAGAGCTTGCGTGAGAAGCTCAGCGACATCAGGCTTCCATTGCGCTGCAGTATATCCGACAGCCAGATGAAGAAGCAGGTGAGCAGGATCATGGCAAAGTAGGGCAACGCAGAGAGCGGGCCATTGTGCTTGATGTCCATGCCCAGCACATTCTTCATAAAGGTCGGAATCTGGGTGAGCAGCGTCCAGAAGCCCCAGTTGTTGGCGCAATGAGCCAAGAGGAGCGACAGGAACGGCAGCGAGGTGAAGATGCGAAGCCAGGGCGTGCGCAGGTTTTGATGTGCCACGAATTCTTCGCGACCTGCATCCGACGGGCGACGCAGCTGACCAGAGGTCTCAATGTACCGCCGCTCGTTGGGAGTTATTGAGGAATGCTGCGCGGGAGTGCTGGCGCACAAGTAGATCCAGATCATGGACCACATAATGCCGGCACAGCCGGATATGTAGAATATACTGGGCCAGCCCAGCGACGAAGATGCAATATATCCGCTCACCGACAGCATGATTACAGTGCCAAACTGGGAGCCCGAATAGCAATAGCCCACAAGCCTCGCACGCTCCTCAGCTGGCGCCCATTTGGACAGGAATGTGTGGGTGGATGGAAAGATGACGCCTTGGCAGAGTCCTTGAATGGCGCGCAATACAACGACCAATTTCCAGCCTCCAGTGATCGCACAGAAGGGCGTCAGCAGTGCCAGGCAGGAGCAGATGAGCACGCCGAAGAAGAGCATATACTTAGCACCAATTATTGCCGAGAGATAGCCGCCCGGCACCTGCGTCACGACATAGCCCCAGAAGAAGCTACTCAGCAGATACGACTTGATGCTCTCGTCCCAGGGGAACTCTGGAAATGCTGGATTGGTGTGATTGCTATCCGTCATGGCCACGATGGCCACGGAGAGATTCACACGTAGGGCATATGCCACGGCCAAGCCGAAAAATACTAAAATGCATTGCAGATGACGCACACCAAAACGGGGACCTGTCGAAAATAATAATGAATCACTGTTTCGGAACTGCGTCATATTGTCCAGCGGAGCGCTGCGTTTACCCGTATTTCCAATGGCGTCGTAGCCCGTGTGGCTGCAGCAGTCCGCGCAACCTAATACCATGTTTGCGTTGATTAGTTCTAGTGTCGTTGCTTTGTTGTCTTCGCAATGGCGGTGCTTGAGCGTCTAAGCATTTCGCACAACTGATAAGCTAACGTTGCACAGCAGGAAAATAAGTCGCCAACTGTTCTGCTTACGTTGCGATTTGTTATATTTTTCTACGTTGTCGTGGTCAGTACACACAAAACAGCTGTTGCGCTAGCTGCTTACGTACGATAGTTGCAACTATCGTCAAGCAAACACTGCAACAGGCTGTGTTCATTTTTGAGTACCGATAGCTGTTCACAATGATTGCCCACAACTATCGAGGACAAGAAAAAACTATTGGACAACAATCCTATTATGGAGCGGAGGATTAAAGTAAAAGATAATAAGACGTTCTGATTTTTTTATAGATAACTAGCTCTATGTTGTGTATGCTTTGCAGTGGCTACACACACGCCGCAACAAGTGCGCTGTGTTTAGTGCCCATTATGGCATTTGAAAACTTAAAGCAAAATATTTAAGCAAACGCTCACTATTGAAATATTATTTTTTGTTTAAGGGCTATCCGCTTTGTTAGTCTACCATTAGTTACCATTGTAACAATGAGATTTGAGCTGTGTTTTCTGACCAAGCAACGAGTGTATATTTCAAAATGTAAGTAGTGCGCGCCTGTGCGATAGCCACAGCTATTGCTAACAGAGGACAACTATCGGACAGCAAACACAGCTGCAGCAACAGTTGTGTTTGCTTATGCCAATCGATTGCTTATCGAAGGGCGCCAGATTCAAAAATAACTCGGAATACAATAAATAGTACTTGTTTGTTTTGATTTATGTAAATTTGGCCCTTCGTATTTGGCCTATATATTTCTTTCTTGTTCTCTTTTCGTTTCACTTTTATGTTTGTTGTATGCATATGTCTTCTTTTCTGCCTTTTTTAGTTGATTTAATTTTTCGTACATCACAAGTTGGTTGTTTGTTTATTACTAATTTAACTAATTGACTAAAGACCTACGTTAGTTAAGGCATATATGATTTATAGTTTCACTTTAAAACATAACAATTAATAGAGCAGCGCTTACATTTACTTAAAGATAGCAATCTTTGCTATTTACATTGTCAACTAGCTGTGCTTATCTCATTTGTTATTGTCTTGTTACCATGGTTAAATTGTTATTTTTTATGTACATTATGGAAGAAATACTGGAAATAATAATAATTTATGCTGCCTACACGCTAAACAATTATCATATGTTATTATTATATTATATTAATATCGCTATTGGAAGCACGCGATCGTCATTATGGCAATTTTAAGGTGTTTCTTGATTAAGAACTAACTAATTACTATTCACTTAAGTTAGGTGCTTAGTTTTAGAAAAACACAACAACTAGAAGCAAATCATGCACCCATAAGGTTATTTTCCTATCATTTTACTTAGTTGGGTATGATTTAGTCTTAAGTCCAGGGCTCAGGGTTTGCCATTTGCTATTGGGATTGGCTGCCGACTTTTGTCGCCCGCTAACGGTAGACCCGCCTCGATGCTCTCCTCGTCCACCATGTCAGGTGTATCCCACTTCTGGATCTCCGTGCGGCCGAAGACCACAAAGAGCAGATTGCCAATGAAGTAGAAGAAGGCAGCCACAAAGAACACCGTGCGCCATTCGCTCACGTTTTCCTGCAAATCAAATTCTCAAAGTTAGCCAAGTTGGAATACGTTTCGCGAGCTTCTTCCACTTACCGGATGCTTCACAATTTGACCCACGGCGAGTGGGGCCAGGCCACTCATCACATTGGCCGCCGCATTGGTGATGCCCATCAGGGTGCCGGCATAGTTGGGCGACAGGTCAATGTGATTCACCTGGAAGCCCAGGTAGGTGGCCGCACTGATGCCCACCGTCAGCGTCAGCAGCACCACGGCCAGGACGGAATTCTCTTGGGGCACATAGCCCAGGCCAATCAGCGACAGCATGGGAATCCAGTGACCCACCGTGTTGAAGAACTTCCGATTGAAGGAAGTCGATATGGACTTGTTGTTCTGCAGCACCTTCGAGAGCCACACGAAGAAGAAGCTCAGTATCATCATGACGGTGTAGGGCAGCGAGGAGAGCAGCGAGCTGGACTTGATGTCGATGCTATAGATGTTCTTCATGTAGCTGGGAATCTGGGTGAGCAGCGTCCAGAAGCCCCACATGTGCGTGCAGTGCACCACCAGCAGCGACAGGAACGGCATCGACGTGAAGATGCTGCCCCATGGCGTGGGCGCCATCTTCCGTGCATCCTGCATTTTGCCCACCGACCGCGTCTCCTCAATAAACTTCAGCTCCTCGCGTGTGATGCGCTTGTGTTCCTCCGGCGTGCTGGCCGCAAATATCCACCAGAGGAGCACCCACACAAAGCCACAAAGGCCGCCGAAATAGAAGATGCCGGGCCAGCCAGCAAAGGAGTCGGCAATGAAGCCGCTCGTGGCCAGCATCATGATCGTGCCGAACTGTGCGCCCGAGTAGCAAATCGTGGCCAGCATGCCGCGCTCGTTGGCTGGCGCCCATTTGGCCAGCAGCGAGTGGGTGGCCGGATGCACTGCACCCTGGGTGAGGCCCTCCAGCACGCGCACCACGCACAGCGCCTGCCAGCCGCCCAACTTGAGGGAGAGCGGTGTGAGCAGCGTCAGAATGGCGCAGGCCACCAATCCCACCATCAGCAACATCTTGGCGCCATAGCGTTGAGCGATATAGCCACCGGGCACCTGGGTCACTATGTAGCCCCAGAAGAAGCTGCTCAGCATGTAGGACTTTTCCGATTCCGTAAAGCTAAACAACTGCAGCAGGAGGAGAAGGGAGAGTGGGGGGTTAGAGCTTTGCTCTGCTTTGCTTCGCCTCGTCTTGTGTCACTTACATCAAACTCCGCTGCCTCCTCGGAGCTGTCGAGCGTTGCATTGGCCTCCGTGGCATTCGATGGACCCGACATGGCCACGAGGGCAACGCTCAGGTTGACGCGCCAGGCGTACGCCAGGGAGAGGCAGAAGAAGCAGAGGATGCATTGCACATGCCGCACGCCAATGATTTTATCTGCAAATAGTGAAGAGATATTGGGGTTTATAATAATCGAATAGGATATACATATATTTAAGTGAAGTTCAAAAGAGATTGAAATTCAGAAGAGGAGCAACTGAAGCGGAAAGCTCTATAGAGAACTCTAGAGCTGCTCTGTCCTAATCAAACTACATTCCAATCTCTTTCTCGATTATTATTATCTTATGTCAACTCCTACATTTTTCTAGAACACAAAGCGAGCTAAATAGATTATAGATCAACAGCGATCGTGTGTCATCAAGAAGCGTACCCAAACTGCCTTACAAATCCTGCATATTGTTTACTTTCGTCATTGTAATTGGATTATCAAAACAGTAAACAAAACATGGGAGTTATCAGAGTTTCCCATTGCAAATATGCTAAAAGCGAGCTGCTCAAACTGAATCTGAAACGAAGAATAGCAATGTGAAATATGAACTGAATACAACTTTGGGGCTTTCATGGTGTATTCTAGAATTAAGAATTATTTATTTGAAGTATTGAAAAACCCCTAACTCACTATTCTTTTTATAAATATTTTTACTATCAATTGTTGAATGAGACCAAGTGAAGTAAATAAAAGAAAATGATAATATTATTACTAAAATTCAATATTAAAACAGAATTACTGTTTGGCATTGAGTTAGGAAAAGTTGTTTTTAATTAGTTTCCTCGAACCTTTTACTGGACCGCATACTAAATCTTTTTTAGGCTTAGAAATATTTTACGTTTGTTCTACAAATATTAAATAAATCTATTTTTAGTGATTTATTTATAACAGGTTTCCGTATACAACCTAGTTCTAAACAAAGATCGCAAAATTAAAGTTAAATCGTAAGCAATGATTATGCAAAAGAACAAAGCAAAATATGAAACCATATTTTGTGGAGCTTTTATAATTGAGTACAACTAGTGTTTCAAGACTCTGACTTATAGAGCATTATATCATAGCACATGTGTAGCTGGGTTTGGTGGAGAGCCAAAGCACTCGCGCTCTTATCAATGCCAAAAAGGCAATGAGAGCACGCTCTCTCTCTCACTCACTCTCTCTCCTTCTGTCTCTCTCTCTACACCTCGATCTCTCGCTTTGTATGTGGGGCGCGTTTATTTATAAAACACAGTGTGTCAAAATCTTGTTGTGGCCGCATCACACACGCACACCCAGCCACGTACACACGCACACATACACATATACATACATATGTATTCATACATACACACGCGCAACGCCCACTCGTGTATGTGAATGTGAATTACTCGCGAGATCTGCGCGCCTCAATGAAGTGCAGCAGCAGCAGATGATGACGGTGCTGTACCCAGCAGCGCACAGCGTTAAACCAGCTACACGCGACAACAGCACCACCAGCACCGCTGGCACCACCCAACCAGCCTGCCTGTCGGCCCGCCTGCCTCTCTGCGCCAGCCACTCGAGCTACCTGCTAAAACGTTTGGCCAACTCACACGTGACAGGCGCAGTGCAAACTCGGACGGACGGACGGACGGACGGACAGCTGGGCAGATCTCTCTTGCGGCCATGTGCAGCTAGACGGACAGCTGGACAGACAGACAGCTGTTGGCTATTAATTTGTGCGCCTGCTTCTATATACGTATGTATGTATGTACATGTATTTATATCCATGCAGCCGAAACTCGATTCGGGCTTTATTTTTAGCCGTGCAAAACTGGCCCTAAATGGACTTAGATTTGAGCTAGAGCGGAGGCTTCTACGGCTGCCTCTTCTTTTAGCCACTTGTGGCAGCTGTTGCACCAGCAATTCAACAGCCTTGCGGCGCGGCCTCAAACGGCGCGTCTATTGAACCGCATTGGCTCAAGGTGATTGTAATATTATTAATTATAATTCTCTCTTTTTGTGTTTAGAAATTTTCTATTGCTTTAATTATTAATTAATGAAATTCGCTCAATAATTAAGAGTGCTGGAGGTTGGCGAGCTGCTTGAACTTTGAGTTTTGTTAATTTGCAGACGATCTATGTATCTCTCTCTGTCTCTCTCCCTCTCTCTCTCTCTCGTGTGGTCTCTCGCTTTATTAAGCTGAATCATTGAAACTCTTGCTTTATTTAAATTTATA